AAATCCATGCACTAATGGCTCTGTTGTGTGTGTAAAGGTATACTCGTTGCCAACGAGCCGTGCCCAACGTTTTATAAACCGTCATCAATAAATCGGATGTGGCGAACAGATGATATAGTCGAAAACACTTCAATGCAAACCCTAATTTTGACGAGACAATACTGAAGCGTTTTTAAACTTGACGAGCAAAGTAGCATCCAATATTCTTGATTCAAGTCTCCAAACACACTTGTGAAATGTGATGGAGGGGTCGCAGCCTCGCCCGATGCTGTCAAGGTCCTTAGGATGTAATGGGACGCTATTGAAGTACTTGTATGTTTTGAAGGTCACATTCGCATTCTGCAGGCACATGCTTACCCGAGCATCGCCAAAAGGACACTCTCGCACGCTGTCGGATATCAGAATTATGTGACGAATTACAAAGGAGTATCACGATTAACAATAAGTAAATTTAGGTTTACTTTGCCCTGTGTACGTGCTTGACAGGTGTCCTCGTATTTGTGCGTGTGAGATCCAATAGTGTACTTGCTGTAAAGTAAGTCTCAATAAAAGCTCACGCGTACGATTGTGAGTTGATGGGTAATCATCGTTCCTCAGTACATAGGGCCACAGGCACAGTGTGTCAGTATTCGTAATTAGATATCTTACTCGTGTTAATCAAACAATAGCTTCAATTTGTGGTCGAAATTCTCGACTACCGCAGCATGTGGTGAGACAAGTATAGGATGAGTATTGGTTACATCCCCTTCATATAGTCGTACATACCTACTGGTAATGCAACCTCAACAAGGGAACGAAAGCCTCGCTATTCATTCTTGAATAGGCCTACATGTATGTTAGCTTGAGTGCGATTGCTTCGTCTAATGTAAGGTAGAGAAACACAAGCAGCCATTTTTTTATAGACATACTAGCGATTCAGTCGGCACTGCTTCGTGTCTGCGATTTCGATGAGCTTTAGCATGGCCGCCCGTGATAAGAGTATCCCTGAGCGCACAGATAGAAGAGTGAATAACCAAGTAATGAGCCTTCTTGTGGCACAGATTAAAACCTTCACCCATTGTTTCTTGTGAAAGTATGTGGTTAATCACACCTGATTCCCAGTTTATGAAGACCGCAGCAACATGCTAGTCACTTTATGTAGCAGGCACTCAAACTAAAAAGCTAAAATTAATGGTGCTTAATACGCTAAACATACCTGATCCCCTGATGCGGGAAGCCTTTAAAAACTTTATTGCGTCCATGATAGCACAGTTCAGCTCATTCTAAAACACGATGTAAAGTCCCTAACTACCCGTGCGCGACAACTCACTATGTTAAATATACTCTGCTCTGAACATACTTATCAGCAGTGTACCTTACATCACACACTAAAATGTATTAGTATAAACTATAACACACCTGATCCCCCGTGTGCGAAGACCACCGTAGGCTTATGTTGTCGGGGCCAAACCATAGATCGGCCATAAAAAATCTCTTTGTTATGATCGCGCTTGGCCACAAACTCGGCGAGTTGGTCTGTGAATACGTAAGTATCATCGTCTACCATGAAGTACCAATTCTGTAGATGTTCGGATATGTGACAGGTCAGTAAAGGTTTGGTTGAGAGCTCCCTTTGCACTAGAAAAGCACTCGTGAGAGCCTGTGCAACAGAACAAATACTATGGGGTTGCAACCCCTTCTTATAGAGACGATTGTGAGTTGGACAATTACAGTGTCAGCACCTCTGTGAGAGTGTATGTATATAGAAGCAGTGTGGAATGTGATTATTGTCTACTCTCTTAGAACATTGCATGGAGAGAATGCAATAGGGTATCAGGAACATAACAACTCCACTCGATCTACCACCCAACTTAAAAAACATAAATACATTGGTTTATTCGTATGCGGACGAGGGAACACACCTTGTCAGGATACTTGTCAAACAGCATCTTAAACCCCGGAATGTTCTTATGGGCGTCGTTAGTCCACCCTATAAGCATATAGGGAGACCAAATAACGGACAATGAGCATTGCATCTTGTATCCTACGACCCACTCTAGCACTTGTTTCTACTTTCCACCACATTTACTCGTGTAGATGTGTATGTATTTCAATTTCAGGTGCAACTGGACACACTTACGTGTGCTCATGGTTGGTGCTGCTCGAGTCGAAATATTGAATCGTATTGACTACGCACTAATTGACCTTGTATATGTATGTGATATCTTTTAAGCCAAACCCACTGTCCATATCTCAGTCAATGGATACGCGCCCACCATGGATCACAACACATGCAAATCAAGTATGTAACAAATCACACAAGCCCAGAACTTATCCTGAATTTCAAATATACCACACCTCGTTTATGCTTTGATCGATTTGCAGACTCATATGTGTACCTCGCCTTGAATAATTTCGGGGATGCCAGTTAATCATTAGGGACAAGACAAGATGTAAATTGCGAGTTGGTTTTACAAAATATCGCGTGTGGCGACAGTTGTCCTTTTTTGTCTAGCGTAAAGATCGCTGTACGCACATCTGGCCTACCATATTTTTGCCATGTATACATTTACAAGCAAACATACCCCTGGTATCCTCAATAGCAGAGACATTTGCGATGCCTGCTTCCTCGTCTGCATCAAAACCACCCCCCGCAGCCTTGATCTTCTTCAGCACATTGTGGACCTCATGACAATTTGTGCTAAATTCCGAGTCACCTAATGTACGGAATGAAAATAACAACGAGCTCACAATACGCATCACAACAGCATTTATCTTCCTTGGTAGGTTTGGAACCTCGTGACAATTTGCTCTGGGTTTGGAGTCAGCTACTGTACATGTATACAAGGGCCATATACAAACCACTCAAAATAGTATTATATAGGCCTCCTGGTAATTCGCACCTTATTTTACGTATCAGGTGGTCATATACATATGGCTTCACCAACTTGTGCGCAGTAAGAATGATGAATCGCACGCTCAGTGAGCATAGGGTTGCATTACGATTTGAATCGTGTTTTGTGCTGCATTGTTGTTCTTCCTGCCAAACTGAGCAACTATGAGAACCACCACTAACATACCCAGAACCATGTAGTTTGTGTGTGAGTGAGTTTATGTGTGTGTGGGTTGGTGGGTGGGTGGGTAAAA